AGGACTGGGGTATGGGTGCCCACTTGTGGTTTGACCTTCCAGCCTGTACCAAAGGAATGGGCACTGAGGCTTTTTATCAGTTGACCAGATGGGCAGAATAGGAAGAGAGAGTGCAGAGGTGTAAAAGGTGTTAGTGTTCAGACATCACAAAATGCAGTCAACTCTAGTGCTACACTGAATGCTTCCTCTGGAAACTCCTGCCATCTTGGTTAGGAAAGACCCCAATTTTCTTCATGTTAATATCTTATATTCTTTTTATAGCTACAGATACAGGTCTCATAATACAATGTGATTGTTGAAAACAACTGTGAAATACTGTTTAGTAAAATAGTCTAAGATACTTTTTACAGTAGACAATGAAAATTATTCTGTGGAAGTGTTTATAATAAATATGTATTATATAATTCATAGGATTTATTAAAATGTATTATAAATATGGTATTATTAGAAAGAGCATTTTCCCAAAAGCTATGGAAATGTCATTTTCCCATTATAGCATTAAGTAATATATTCCATGGTTCATTTTCTACTCTAATAAAAGTATATTTTGTGTGTTATATATGTATACACATATATATTTTTTTACTTTTTCCATATGTTGCATCCAGATGCTATGCTTGTGGGTTTTTTTGGTTGGTTTTTTTTTTTTTTTTAGACAAAGTCTCACTGTGTCACCTGTCACCTATGCTGGAGTGCAGTTGCACAATCTTGGCTCACTGTAGCCTCCACCTCCCGGGCTCAAGGGATCCTCCTGCCTCAGCCTCCGAATAGCTGGGGTTATAGATGTGTGCTGTCATGCCCGGCTAATTTTTGTATTTTTAGTAGAGACAGGGTTTTGCCATGTTGACCAGACTGGTCTTGAATTCCTGACCTCAGATGATCCGCCTGCCTCAGCCTCCCAAAGTGCTGGGATTACAGGCTTGAGCCACCACACCCAGCCTAAATACACTTCTAAGTTTTGTTCCATTTAACAGGTACACAGACTCTAACAATGGAAATTGAGAAATGCACTTTGCAACAATTCATAGTATCTTTCTTTTTGAGAGGAGGTCTCCGTATGTTGCTCAGGCTGGTCTCGAACTCCTGGACTCAGCAATTCTGCCTCATAGTCCTGTGTAGCTGGGATCACAGGCCTGCACCAGTATGCCCAGTTAGTGTTGTCTCTTGCATGTGACAGGAACAGACACCAGACAACCAAAATGAATACTTAGGGCCCCTCAATACCATTCAAAGACGGAGGTATGGGGCAAGTTTATGCTGACATTATTATCATTTTAAACTTTCTCATGTTCCATTTGACAATTAAACTGTGTGTTTATCATGTTTTGAATTTTTCATGTTAGAATATGTGGTGACAATGTTGAAACTGACTCCACTTCTAAATTCCTAGAGAACAGCAAAGGGTGGCCAGTTGCCATGGCCCACGCCTGTGATCCCAGCATTTTGAGAGGCTGAAGAGGGAGGCTCGATTGAGCCCAGGAATTCAAGACCACCTTGAGCAACAGAGGAAAACCCCATCTCTACAAACAGTTTTTTTTTTTTTTTTTTTTTTTTTACCAGAGCATGCTGGCACACACCTGTGGTCCTAGCTACTGTGGAGGCTTAGGAGGATCACCTGTGCCCAGGGAAGTCAAGGCTACAATAAGCCCTGCACTCCAGTCTAGGTGACAGAGCGAGACCCTGTGTCAAAAACTTATTAAATATCCAGGCGCGGTGGCTCACGGCTGTAGTCGTAGCACTTTGGGAGGCTGAGGTGGGTGGATCACCTGAGGTCAGGAGTTCATGACCAGCCTGGCCATCATGGTGAAACCTCATCTTTAAAAAAAAAAAAAAGGCCGGGTGCAGTGGCTCACACCTGTAATCCCAGCACTTTGGGAGACCGCAGTGGGCAGATCACTTGAGGTCAGGAGTTTGAGATCAGCCTGGCCAACATGGTGAAACCCCTTCTCTACTAAAAATACAAAAAAATTAGCTGGGCTTGGTGACAGGCACCTGTAACCTCAGGCCAAGTTCCCATCCTTTGACTTATCAAGGATTACTGAATTCTTTGTCCCCACTGCCAGGTGCTCATGCACTGCTGCATACCTGGACCTTTCTAGCCTTGCTTCCTGCTCCACATAAAATGTCTTTTCTCTGTGGCTCTTGGGCATGTGCGAACCTTGTGGTTGGAGCGTCCTCTACTGTAATAATCCTTTTGAATACCATCTCTCCCAAAGTATGAATTTGTGTTTTGACAGATGTAAATATTTTCATTATGCCATTCGTGTTGGAAGCTGTTCATTCTTTTTTGTATGTGTGGCTTAGGCTGTAAACTATACTCAACAGCTGCAAATAGTTCCTACTTTAGTAAAATACTTTGAATCCTCAATGATTTGCATCTGCATTATAATGATATTACAGGTAAGCATATGTAAAAATCTTTCTCTAGCTGAGGAAATACCCATTTTTATTTATTAGAGAAAAACTATATCCATGTTGGTTCCTTGAAAATTTTATGCTAATTTTATATCCTAAAAGGATCATATTTGGGGTTTATTTATTTATTTTAAGACTGATAGACTCGCTCTGTCACCCAGGCTAGAGTGCAGTGGCCTGATCTCGGCTCACTGCAGCCTCCACCACCCAGTTCCAGTGATTCTCCTGCCTCAGTCTCCCAAGTAGCTGGGACTACAGATGTGCACAACCACGCCCCGCTAATTTTTGCATTTAATAAATTTAGTAGAGTTTTGTAGAGACGGGGTTTCACCATGTTGGCCAGGCTGGTCTCAAACTCCTGATCTCAAGTGATCCACCAACTCAGCCTCCCAAATTGCTGGGATTATAGGTGTGAGCCACCTCACCTGGCCAACAGGATCATATTCCAATTAATTAACACTTCAAGGCCGTGCGCGGTGGCTCAAGCCTGTAATCCCAGCACTTTGGGAGGCCGAGGCAGGTGGATCACGAGGTCAAGAGATCGAGACCATCCTGGTCAACAAGGTGAAACCCCGTCTCTACTAAAAATACAAAAAACATTAGCTGGGCATGGTGGCGCGTGCCTG